CCCACATCTACCTTTGCCTCTCTTTACCCCGCAGCCATAGTGCAAATCCCTTTAAAAAGCAAACCATGCATCAGTAGCCAGCAAATTAAAGAGAACAAAGTAGACTTGTCAAACATGAAAACAGTTTTAACTCTACAATGGTTAAAGCAACAAGGAAACAAAAATAGACAAAGAGTTCAGTCCGTAAATGGATATAAATGCAGGTGGAAACTGAATATATGATGAAGGTAGCATTTCAAATCCATAAGGAAAAGGTGGAATTTAAAGCAAATGGTCTTAGAATTCTTGGCTCCCCACCCTGGGGGAGGAAAGTAAAAAAGGTTAGATTCCTCATCTCACTCCTGGTGTCATAATGAATTCCAGATGGATTAAAGATTTCAATTTTTTTTAAATCATAAAAATGCTAGAATGAAAAATGAGTGAGATGCACACACACACACACACACACACACACACACACACACACACACATAAGAGAGATCTAGGTATCTTGGGATAGAGAAGATCTTTCTAAGAATGGCACAAAGCCTGAAATTCCTAAAGGAAAAATTTGGTAAAGCTGACCTTCTAGAAATATTCAAATTCTGCAGGCAAAAGAATATTGTCCTAAACAGATCAAAGTGAGGAAAAATACTGGGAACACACCTAAGAGAGAGACTTTTTCTTTAACAAACAGAATCCTTACAGATCATTAGAAAAACCACCAAATAAAAAACCTGACAAATGACATGAACCAACAGTTAAAAAATACATACCTAAGTGGCTAAGAGGCATAAAATCTTGCATAAATACCCTCAAACAGGAAGAACTACAATTTATGAAATTAAATAAATTTCAATTGATTTAAATAAGATACCCTTAGTTGTTTGGTGTTAGTTTTTGTTTCTTGACTTTTGTATTTCAGAGGGTGGTAAAACGTTGGAAGGACTCCAGTGCTGGCAGGGGTGCAGGGAGACCCTGACTGACCATCGACGGGAAGGTGAGTTGGCAGCGTTTTTCTCGGGGCAACTTGGCAACCTCTATCAAAATGATAAAAGTCTCCCTTGTTTGACCAAACAGCTCATCCATTCTACAACGATGACTGAGCTGGAGCTATGGCAGTGAGCCCCACCTAGAAGGTCGGTACCTACCCCCCAGGGAGGGTGACAAAGACCAGGTAACTTCAAATAGTGAGAAGTGCTCTGGGGCAATTAAGGTGATGTTGTAGGAGAGCCTCGTGGGGGCACTCTAAACTGGGTGGTCTGAGAAAGACTCTGAAGAAGTGGCTTTTGAACTGAGAGCTGCCGGATTCGCCAGAGCCAGCCGCACAAAGCCTGGAGCATCCAAGCCGAGGGAACCGCATGTGCAAAATTAACGTGAAACAGCCTAGCATGAGCGCGAAGTGTCCAGACAGAAGGCAGTTTCTGTGGCTGGGGCACAGTCCGCAGAGGGCAGAGTGGCAGATGAATTTCTAAGCAGGCTGAGGCTTTATCCCTTCGGTGCACCCTGAGGGAAACTCAGGATGGAGAAAAACAGGATACTGGCCCTAGACAATTAAGATGCATATCAAAGGAATAATTTCAATGACCCCAGACTCTTGCATCTTCCCATACAGAGAAAAGCACTCACGTCAATAACTTGAGATGTCTGGTTTTTGTGATTAGTGGTAATCTTTTGATGTTGGATTACATGGGGTTTTTTTTTTTTTTTTTCAGCAAAAACTCCTACATATCCTGGCTCCTCCCTTACCTCTTTGGAACAGTTCCTCAGAGGTCTCTGAGAAGCTGCCTTCCAAGGCTTTCGTTCTTAGTAAGGTCCCTGAATGAAACATAATTTGCAGCTTTAAGTTGTGCCTGTTTTTTTCAGTTGATAATGTGAATAGCCACTTGATATGAGTCATGACAAAAATGCAGGTTTTAAAAGATGTTGCCATTTTAAAATTTATATGATTGACCACTTCATATCTATCAGAATGCCTATTATCAAAAAAAAAACAACTGAAAATAAGAAATGTTGGAGAGGATGTAGAGAAATTGGAACCCTGGTGCACTGCTGGTAGGAATGTGAAATGGTGCAGTCACTATGGAAAACAATTTAGTGGTTCCTCAAAAAGTTAAACACAGAATTGCCATATGATCTAGTCATTCTACGTCTAGAGAAATATCCAAAAGAATTGAAAGCAGAGACTCAAACAAACGCTTGTTCACCAATGTTCATAGCACCATTATTCACAGTAGCCAAAAGGTAGAAACAATCCAAATACTCATCAACAGGTGAATTGATAAACAAAATGGGATCCATCCATGCATACAATGGAATACTATTCAGCATAAAAAGGAGTGAAATTCTGATACATACTATAACATGGACAAACCTTGAAAACAGTATATGCTAAAAGAAATAAGCCAGACACAAAAGGATGAATATTGTATGATTCCACTGAAGTGAGGCTCCTAGAACAGGCAAATTCATAGAGACAGAAAGTAGAATCGAGTTGACCAGGGCCTGGGGTCCCCCCCAGGGAATGGACAGTTAGTGTTCAAAGCTTAAAATTTTCTGTTTGGGACGATGACAAAGATCAGGAATGGCTGACGGTGATGGTCGCCCAACGTTGTGAATGTACTTCATACACACTCAAGCATGCTTAAAATGGTAAATTTTCTGTTATGTGTATGTTCCCACATTTTATAAATTGCAAAATAAATAACGTTTCCTGCTAAAATAAAATAAAATAAAATAAACAAAATAAAATTCATATGATTGGCAAAAAATTGAAAAGATCAATCCTGTCCAGGGTTAACAAAGATGTTTCTTTTTCAGGGGAAAACCACTTTCCCTATGCGTCTGAGAGCTCAGTCTCCTTGAGCAAGTTTACATTCAGAGAAAGAACATACTGAGGTGGTCCAGATGACAGCCCCTTTGGGATGAGTAGGCTTGTGGACCAGAGTCAGGCTTATTTACCTGTTTGCAACCCACTGGCCTTATTTTCTCATTGCTTTTTTCTTAGATCCCTGCAAGCTGTGCATCAGAGTAAGAATTCTCCAGATCCACCCAAGTGAGTCCTGTCCAACTGCTGTCGCACTGGCGGTGCCGTCACAGAAGACACAAGATGTAGGATCCCTCCACCTCTTGTTATTTTGTTCCTCTGCTTCCTTCAGTATTTGCACCTTAATGTCAGATGCCTTAAGCACTCATTATTTCATGAGACTGTAATTCATGTGTATTAAAACTGTGGAAGTGTTCCGATTACCTTTGCAAGATGCCCTGGATCCTGATTTATGCTTGTCGCCACACTGACTCTCTAAAAGGTGTGTGGCCCATTTGGATGTAAAGTGTGGATTCTCAGATATTTGAGTTAGAACTCCTGGCAACAAGGATGCAGTGCCTAACCCTCCCCTGATTTTCACCTCCTTGTATCCTCAGTCCTCTCCCATTTCCTCTCCCTTTTCTGCCATGTATTTACAGGTTTCCTTTATCTTAAAAAATATTATTAACACACACACACACTCATGCACAAAAAAAATCCCTTCATTTAATCATGTTGGCCTCTGTCCAGCTCCTCCTCGTCCCTTTGCTCCCATCTTCTGGACTCAAGAAACAGCTAAGTCACAGGATGCTGGAATTTGGAAATAGAGAAGACCCTGAGATGGCTCTGCTGCTGTGCAACCCCAAGAGTGTCACTTAACCTCTCTGAGTTTAAATTTACTTCTCTGCAAATTGTAGCTAATAGATTATTATTATGTCTCAGTCTTTATGGGGCTCTTGTAAGTTAATGACTATTCAATATGTATGTGTGTAAAATGTGCCTGAAAGCCCAGTGGAATTGTAAGATGGCCCCATTTGCTCCATGCTCACTAGTTTGTTATCTTTTTCTAATCTGGCCTCCACGCTACTGCTGCTCAGCTGAAGCCCCTCTCAGCCATGACTGTGGCTAGCACCCACCTCCCTTGAAAATAAGGGTGTTGTTAGTCATCCCCTTAAATCCCAGCAGGGCTTTTAATGTCCCATAGTAAGGGTGGTTAGATGAATTATAGCATTTTCACATTATGGACTATTATGCAGCCATAAAAAGAATGAAGAAGTTCTTTTTATTCTGATGTAGAAATATCTCCAAATTATATTATTAATTGGAGAAAAAGACTCTATATACTAAACCACCATTTGTCAGAGGAAATGGAGGCAAAGAGAAATGTTTGTGGATGCCTAAAATATCTTTGGAGACACGCAGAAGAAACATAACTCTTGCTGCCTCCATGCAGGAGAGCTGGGAGGCTGGAAACAAAGGTGTGTCCGTTAGCTCTGTAACACACCAGAAATGTAGTGGCTGTGGGAGGCAGAAGACTGGCCCCCAGAGATGTCCATGTCCCAATCTCTGAAACCTGGGAATACATTACCTTATATGGCAAAAAGGACTTTGCAGGTGTGATTAAGTTAAGGATCTTGAAATGAGAAGGTCATCCTGGAGTATCCAGGTGGACCTCATGTGATCACAAGGGTCCTTATCAAGGGGAGGCAGGAATATCAGAGTCAGAGAAGGAGATGTGGCAATGGAAGTAGAGGTCAGAGTGATGCCATTGCTGGAAGGGACCACAGGTAGCTTTCCCTAGCAAGACAAAGAATGGATTCTCCCCTGGAGCCTCCAGAAGTAATGCTTGATTTTCCCCGCAGACTCACTATTGGACTTCTGACTTCCAGAACAGAAGATAATGTATTTGTGTTGTTTTAAGCCCCTGCGGTTGTGCTAATTTGTTACAGTAGAAGTCAGCAACTAATACAATGGCTCAAATTAACTAACATTTGCTCAGAATCCTAAGGCAAGTTCCAGGAGAAGATATAGACTCATTTTTCCTGGCTCATCTCCTCTAAATACAACTAAATGCCATGGAAAGAATTTGACAGACAATCATACAAGGACACTTAAAGGTGGAAAGAAGAAGGTGGGCTGGCTAGGGACCTCGTGACTTGCAGATCAACACCACAATGAGTTCCCTGGGTTTTGTCTTTATCTCCCATATATCCTGGGCACCAGCCAGCCTGTAACCTGAAACCAACAACAGACAATAGACAAAAAAGAAAGAGAGACAGAGAGAGACAGCAAGAGAAAACAAACAAGCAAGAAAAAAAGAGACAGAAGGAGGGAAGGAAGGGAGGGAGGGAGGGAGGGAAGGAGAAGGGGAGAGAAGGAAGAAGGAAGATAACCTGCTCCCTCTGGCTAAAGGACCAGGAAAAGAGAATCATACCAGAGACTTACTGGGGAGACTCACACCCAGGGGCAGCAGCAGGACCAACCCACTCACAGCAGCAGCAAGAAGCAGAAATGAATTTCCAACTCATCTCCATCTCCCTAGTCAGAGAGCAGCAGACTGATCTGCCCATAGCAGTGGCAACAGAAAAACACAGGTGGGCCACTCCATCCCGTGCCCTACCCCACCCGCAGCAGCGGTGGACCCAATCTGCCCACATCAGTGGAAACAGAGAAATCCAGGAACCAAGCTCATCCACTGCCCCTGCACCAGGTGATAGCTGGCAGGCCCCTCCACCTGCATTAGTAGTGCCAGCAGGCCCAGTGCCAGTGGCAGAAGCGGACCCAGGGCATCACCCTCCATCTGCCTAATGACACCAGGCAGCCCAGGGAAGTACCTTTACCCATGTAGGCATCACATGTAGGGATCCATGGGGAGCTTAAGCAGAACCAGAAGAACAAAGTAGACCAGAACAGCATTGCAAGTGCTCAGGAAACTAAACTACCGTTGAAATGATAGCCTACAAAAATAAATCTTGGGTGGCAGAGGAAGGGGTTGGAAAAACTAAACAGGGTGGCTGCTTACTAAAATAGAAGATTTATATAAGATCAACAGTCTCCTAACATTGTACGCAAAATGTCCAGGATACTATAAAAAAAAATCACTTGACACACCAAGAAAAAGGAAAAATCACAACTTGAGTGAGAAAAGATAATCAGCTGACACCAATAGTGAGACGAATTAGATGTTGGAACTCTCTGGCAAAGACTTCAAAGCAGACACCATAAAATAGTTTCAGCAAGTAATTATGAAATCCCTCGAAATGTGAAAAAAAATAGAAAACCTCAGCAAAGAAATAGAAGCTACAAAAAAAGAACCAAGTGATTATGGAACTGAAAAGTACAACCATCAGGGAAAAAAAAGTAGAGTGAAGATGACAAAAGATGGAATCACCAAACTTGAGGGCAATTCAATCAAATGTACTCAATCTGAAAAACAGAGATAAAAGAGACTGGGGGAAAAGAAGGGACCTGTGGGGACAGTAACAAAAGCTCTAACATCTATATCCTCAGAATCCTAGTAGGAGACAAGAAAGATTGTGGGACTAAGCAAATATTCAAAGAAATAATGGTGAAAGATAGAAACCTACATATTCAAGAGCTACGTGAACCTGAAATGGGATAAAGCTAAAGAAATCCACATCAGAACACATCACAATTAAACTTCTGAAAACTAAAGGAAAGAATCGTAAGGATAACTGAGAGAAATGATGCATTACTTACAGCAGATTTCTCATCCTTAATCACAGAGGCCAGGATGAAGTGGCACACTTTTCAAGGGCTGAAAGAAAGGAACTGACAATCTTGTTTCTCCCGAGCTCCTGTCCTGTAATTCTAATAGCCCATGGGACCCTCTACGCAGATGTGGCTTTGACAACTTAAACAAGATGTATAAAACACCAAGCGTATGCATCCTCTTTCTCCTGGGCTAATAGACTCGTTTAACATGTCTAACTTGTCCAAGGCTTTGACACTTTCTAAGTCACTTAGGAAAGTGTGGATTCGTCATGACTTTCCTTCTAAACACCTTTACTTCACGGCAGCGTGCAGTGGTGGTGAGGAGCTGAGACCCGGCAGCCAGACAGCCTGGGTGTGACTCCTGACTTTACCACGTACCAGCATGTGTCCTTGAGCATGTTCCTTAACCTTACGGTGCCTCAGTTTCTTCCTCTGTAACAGAAATACCTAACTCAGGATGCTCAAAGAAGTTCAGATTTGTATGGGCTTAGAACAGCACCTTGCACATCACACCTTGGGGGCGTTTTTTGGTAGCTTTTTTTTTTTTGCATAAAAATCTAAATTCTGACATCTGCCTTTTCTTTCTCTTCCCACTGCCATCACCTGCTCCAAGCTTTCATCTCCTTAAGGCCCTCCTCTCGGCTCTCCCTGCTGTCAACCTCTCCCACACACTGTTGCTACCATATTGGTCTTTCTAAATCCAGTCGGTATTGGAGCTTGTCCTGTTCCCCACAGAAACCTTCCAAGCTCCTTAACATCAACAGAGTGAAGCAGAAACCCAGGTTCGTGCTGTTCTAACCCAGGTATCCTGCCTTCTCCTTGGCTGGTTCTCAGACTTCCCACCCAAGTTCGATGGCCTCTGAAACATTTCATCCCTTCTCCAGCCCCCATGGCTCTACCCTGCTACTCATTTACGCTTTAATACTACACAACAGGACCACCCTCTGACTATTTACGTGTGGACATCTTCCTTCTCCAAATAGAAAGTTCCTGAAGGCCAGGGGCACAGAGCTGTGCTGGGTAAATACTGATCAGAACATGAACTTGTTCTGTAGCCACATTTCCTGTTCAGCCTTCTGATGAAGCCAGCTTGACAATTTCCTTTTCTTTCCTACAACTGAGACCATATCATTTAAAACCAGGAGCAAGGGGCGGGGAATGGGAGGTGGATTGGTACCTTCTGAGAAACATCACGGCAGAAGGAAGAGTCCAACTGTGGGCGTCAGAGGCCACAGTGCTGCCATTAACAAGCTGGATATTCAGCCAGGCTCTTATAACATCTCGAGCCCTCATTTCCTTTTGCAAAATGAGGACATTAGCAAAGCTCCAAGTCCTCCTTAGTCTCAAATGTTCCATGACAAATCTCCTTGATGGTGGATTCAGGAAACTGATTTTCAAATTGATTGAGCAGTGTGTTATTACTGCATGGAGAATTAGACTACACTTCGTAACAATTCATTTCCTGAGTGTAACCCTCCAGCCAGTGTTTACTAAGGACCATTTACTCGGCACTGCCCTGGGTTGAGTGCTGTGGAGACACAGAGCGGTACCTCTCAGGATTCTTGGCCTCAAGGAGTTTATTATACAACCAGAATTTATTTTATAATAAAAGCTCACCAAGCTCATGATCCAGCAAACTACTGTGTTTGTTTACCTAAGAGTTCTGCCAAATAAAGTTATGTAAGCTATGTGAGCTATGTATTCTGTGTCATTTCTGTATTATTTTATTTGAAATACACACATATTATACACACACACACACACACACACTGGATGTTTAGATATAAATATATGCATTGAAAATGTATATGTTTAAAATATCTCCATTAACAGGCTGGGTATTTTTAAAATTTTTAATAAACCAAATGATGTCTTTTATTTATTTTTATTTTGGGGGGGAGAGAGGTTGTTAGCCTTATTTATTGCCTTATTTATTTAATGAAGGCACTGGGGATTGACCCCAGGACCACATGCATGCTAAGCACACACTCTACCACTGAGCCATACCCTACCCCCGCCAAATGATATAGATTTTCAAACTTTCACAAAAGTAGAGAGAATTGTGTCCTGTGCCCATCAC